CCATACATTTCACACCTGAGCCTCAACTCTCGCGGCCTGGTACCAAACAACTCACGGACCGGTACCGGTCCGAGGCCCGGGGGTTGGGGACCGCTGTGTTACTGGATGAATCTGAACATTCTTTGTTTAAATGTGACTCTTTGTTGGGGCAAAATAAACAAAAGGAACTGAACTGTTATCAAATGTTGTTCCACATTTTGCTTTAAGATAAGTTTCTGGATGACGTCCTACTGCCTGCTGAGGGTAAGTATAGGTGGGTTGGACATTCTTTCTTTTATTCCCAGTTCTAGGAATGTTTGAAATCTGGGAATGAAAACTAAAATAACTGGAACAGCAGCAGGAGACTGCGCTGGAGGCTGCTGTGAATCCTAAATCTGTTGTTTTTTTATGTTTTATTTTTGTTTGATGAACAGCAAGGAGGCCACTATCAATCCAGCAGATCCCTTTAACTCCCCTCCAATATTAACCTGTTTTAATAGGCAGTGTTGGGGATTAACGGAATACATGTACCAGCGTTACGTATTTAAAACACAAAATATGAGTAACTGTATTCCGTTCCATTACCATTTAAATAGGTGATATTCAGAATACCGTTACTTTGTTGAACTAAATAGAATACACGGTGGTCACTTCCTGTTCCATATGTTAGGCTATCCCCTGTCTATGCCTTCTCCAATTTTGTTTTTTTTGGGTTTTTTCCCTTCCCGTTTGGAAAGATGCCCAACGGATTTACTTTACTTAGACCCAGGAGATGCTACCCTTTCCCCTGTGGTGGAGACAAGCAGATCGCCCCCGGCTCAGTAGTAGCAGAGAGGCTCGCATCCCAGAACCCAACCGGACGGCCAACACCTCCGCCCAGCCCTGATGGTTAACAGAGAACGGGGGTGTGTGAAGACCCCAAACCTCCCTCCACCTGCTCATATGTAGTGTTGCTGCGTGCTGTTCTAAATTTAAAACACGGGAGAGCAGCAGGTGTCAGCACAGCCCCCCCTGGAAACCCTCAATGTCTAAATGGATTTAAAATTGAGATGGGCACCAGCACCAGAGGTGATTTTCAATACACAGACTGTCCTCTGGACGCCGTGTAATGTGCCCACCCAAAAGGCCCTCTATGTATGTGTTATGAGAGTGTGAGTAATGTGGATGTCTAAGTTGTGGAATAAAATTGAGGCACAAGTGGCCAGAAGGGGACAGAGGGAGGACGCCTCCCCTGCACCCTGGTGACACACCTGCACCCCAAGGCCCTGCATGTGTGGGTGGGTGTGGTGGCGCAGGAAGAGGGAGACAGTTCTCCCTTCTCCAATTTTGGCGATTAAATGCAGTTTAATGCAGGCACAGGTTTAGCTCAGTTGGCTGAGCATGTATGTAGTCATATATCGCAGGGCTGAGAGCGGCCAGCCCATGTTCAAGTACAACCCAGGACTCTTTCTTTTTTTTTAAAAGAAATTATTTTTAAACTCAATTTCAGTCTGGGATTAATACAGTTTCTCTGATTACTGTAAATCCAAACAAAACGAGCAATAAAGGCTGTAATGTAAGTGTCCTGCTAATGTTGGTGGCATCAGTTACACAATGGACCCAGAGCCAGCAGTGCACAGGCAGGAATCCATTTCTGACACCACTTCATAAGAAGAATGGGATCGGCGAAACTTCAGTATCTTCGATGTACTATTGTTGTGTGATTTTTATTACTATTAATGATGAATGCTCGTCACCGAGCTAACATTGTTAGCTGGGTTTGCTGAGGTTAGTTCATAGACTGCAGACTGTTAGGCCGTTTCTCAATACTCATGTACAAGAGTCCGTACTCACCTTTTCACTATTCCAGACTTCGTAAGTTGACACAGGAGTCCCGACTTCCCGAGAACGCAGAGCAACCCTTCTACAATTGGAACGGGAGTGTACTTACTGACATCACAGCTATTTTTAGTTATTTAGTTTTTTTTATTTTTTTTTATTTCACTGCTTTGGAAGTGAAGACCTTAAATGTTTCAAATGAAATGAAATCAACAACAATCAAAATAAGAAAACACAAAGTTATTGCTGAGATTCAATAATACAGACCATGTTTTCTGTCAGCTCTGTGTGACCTTTAAGCAGGAAGCTTCTACCAGGCTGATGAAGATGAAATTAGGCCCAACATTTAAACAATGATCCCAAACACACAACCAAGAGAAGTGTCAACTGGGAAGTGTTCAGCTGGATTTCAGTGAGATTACAGCTGTAACAACATGTATAGTAAACATTTAAAGGGTTCACAGAAAGTCTGTTAGCTAACAAAAGTGATCAAACTGCAGCTCACTTCTGACCAAATACAGTGGCTTGCAAAAGCCACAAACACCCCACGTTTCAGTTATTTATTTGTAAAAAAATGTTTGGAATCATGTGTGATTTTCGTTCCACTTCTCACATGTACACCACTTTGTGTTGGTCTTTCACGTGGAATTCCAATAAAATTGATTCATGTTTGTGTAATGTGACAAAATGTGGAAAAGTTCAAGGGGGCCGAATACTTTTGCAAGCCACTGTACAAACAGTTTGGAGTTCTGAGCAGGAACATGCAGTATAGTCATAGAAGTTATATCCATGTTATGTTAAAGTTATGTTCATGTAAACCACTGTTTCCCAACCTGTTGGAGCCATGGCACATAAGTCACAAAAAACTGCGTGATGCAGTTCAATGTTGTGCATCCACACAGTTTCTGACCACATGTTAGTGGTTGGAACAGAGAGAAGTCAACAGGAACAAAACCACCTCCAGCTCACTTCCTGCTGTCAACTACAGGAAGACAAAACTTGTTTCTTTAAATCTGTAACACAATTGATAAACTCAGTCCTTAATAACATAGTCATTTATTTTACTCTAACTGTCAAAAAGAGCACAGGTTGGGTTTGGACAGGCAGTGAAGTCATTACACAGGTGTTGATGTTTGCGTTTGTGCATTTCTGGAGGAAACCACAACACTGACAGCCAGTCTACAAGAATGTGAAAAAGGACAGTTTTGCTTGATGTGACTGTGAGCTGATGTCAGTGTTGGTCTGATATCATTGAGCAGCAGGATGGAGGAAACATCTCTGCTGTGTCTGCTCTGTAAGTTCACTCTGTTTTTCATGCCTCTGCTGTCTTGTTGAATGTGAAACTCTGAACTAACCTGAGTTTAATTTCTCTTTATGAATGGAACGCATACATGATTTTTCACTTCACTGTTGGTGGGCTGGTTCAGGTCTGTGAGCCTCATATTTGACACCACTGGTTTACACTGTAATTGCAGATGTTGTTTGGGTTTTCAGCCACACATTTCTTCGCAGACATCTTCATTTTCGCAGGATAGAGCCAATCAAATGTGGGCCACTGTCAGTATGATGGAAGGTTTATCAAGGTCATAGTTAGAGGAGAGCCACCTAAATCTGAGCTTGACTCCTGTTTATTCTATTAAACAGCTTCTAAGGTGGTCTTAATGTGACTGATGGTAGATTAGTAATCAGTTTTGTTGTTGATCAGCTCTGAATCCAAACCTTTAATTCAGTGAAATGAGCCCATTTGTGTTTATGACGTGTTATGTCCCCACCCTCAGTCTGTTTTCTTCCTCAAAAGACAAGCAGCCCTGTCACTGAACACAAACGCATCTGTTTTCACCCTAAATAACGTTCAGCTTTAATGAAAAACTCCTCTTTAAACTCGCCGTCAGGATTAAATTTGGATGTTCTGTTCTCGGGAAATCTCAGTATCCTCTGGATATATAGCAAACTTTGAAGAGTCGGATCATCAGGCGGAAATAGCTGCTGGAGCGTCTCAGCTGGACTCACCGTCTGTGTCTGCAGGTGAGTTTGAACTAACATAAGAGGTTTGTTCGTATTTGTTAGATTTGTAAACTTGCGTGTAAGTAAACCACGTGACCTGTCCGCGCTGTCTGTAGATTAACAGTTTAGGAAACCATCATTTCTGCTCAGATTCTGGAGCGCGTTAAAAAAACATTTTATTTTTATTTGCTGGCTCCAAAAACCAAAACATTCAGTCAGAGACGGTGTGAGGAGCGGACGTTAAAAACCTTCCGCGCAGACTTTGTGGTTCTCTCTGTGCGCGCTCACAAAAAAGAAGGCGTTTTGTTTTTGTGTTGTGTGCGTGAACGACCGTTTGACCGCCGCACACGTCACTGAGAGACAGGATCAGAGAACAGCTCACTGAGAGCTACAAAGTAAAGCCTTTAAATATACGAGGAAACTGTTGCACTGGTGGTGCAAATAAGATGTGTGAGCAGTGCTGGGCATTAACGAGCAGCCTAATAAGGCTATTTATTCTAACTGCGCACACACTGGAAGCGAGAAAGCGATGTCCGTTACTTTGAACTGTAGCGTGTGAGTAAGACACGGCGCAGCAGGCTTTAAGCTGCAGAGCGATATATGACGGATTGCACTCATCGAACAGATGGAAGATCAAAAGGGCACTTATGTTCAGCTGCTGAGATGAATAAAAGTCAAGCTTTCTCAAGCTGTCAACAAGCTCCAGACTGCGCACCCGGAAGGATTCGTTATTGTGGCCCGGCGACTTCAACCAAGCAATTCTCACGACAGTCACTCCAAATTCCAAATCCGCCTGAATTAAGTTTACAGCAGCTGTACGCCTGCTAATCAGCTCATCTGATCACGCCACTGTGATGCTGCTGCCCGCGAATACATAACTGCTGAAACGCACAAGGTCTGCCAAAAAACTATCAGAGTCTGGCCGAGTGGGACTGTCTCAGCGCTTGGACAATTTTTACCTTCAAGAAATCTCATGCTTACAAGCTGCTAGACTGGTCACTTTAAACCACTCTAAACTGTAAATTGTAGTTTCTCTTGATCATTTAGACTTTAAGCGTATATTTATTTTCTTACTCCTTGAAGGAAATTTCCGTCCCGGGTTTCCTCCGTGGCGTGAGCGATAAGCAGAGTTTTGTCCTTTCCTTATAAGACTCCTAATTATTCAAAGTAACACTCAGGTATGCCGTTCAGCGGGTTAGTTACAGCGCCGGGAGTAGCTTGGGAGAACAAAATGACACAGAAACTGCTTCAGGTTGCTCTTCCAAAATCAACTCAAAGGTTTATTCATCAGACAACAGCATATATAGAGGAAAAAGGTTCGTGTGTCAGCAGGTTCTCAGTTCAAACCGGTACAGACCAAATAAGGAAACGTCTTCCTGCCTTCTGAGCAAAGAAGTATCCTTTGTGTAGTTTATCAGTTCAGCTACAAATTATGATCATCCCAGCAAAATACACTCCTAGACATAGAATACAGTTCTTTCATTAGTGAATTCTGAAACAAACCACCTGGCCTTTAACAAGCCTTTTCTAGGAGATAAAGAAGGGAGGATGGGAGTAAGGAAGTGGTCTCTGTGGTGTTTTCAACCTTGGGGTACCATCCTGTAATTCTTACACATTAATTCTTGGGTCACAGAGAAAGAGAAAAACAACTAGTAAATGGGCCTTATTGAGTAAGTTTCCTGTATGATATCACTATAAAACAATATCCTGTAAATGCTACCATGGTATCAAAATATCACAACACTCCTCTTATATATATTTATTTGGTTTTCTTGCACTGATGTAACCAGAGCCTTGTCGTCTTGTCTCTCTGCTGCACTGGGTATAGCAGAGATGACAATAAAGTTTATTTGACTTTGACTATAAAGTTCTATGAGTCGCCACTTCTGTGGCTTTTCTTCGCTTTCTCGATTAAATGGAGATCTAATCGAAAGAGATTGTAAGGCTTCACAATCACACCTGTGGTCATTTCTTTGAAACAAATGACTGAAACCTCTCTCCTTTCCCGTTTCACCGTTGCCCCATTGTCTCTATTCAGCTGTCATTGATGATTTCTTTAGTCATCTTCTGGTGTTTCTCTGTAATTGCTTCATCTACAGGCTAGTGAAGCTGAACCTAGTTATGTTTTAATTCCTCTAAAAATTAAAAACTAAAGTGAAATCGTGTTTAAAATTATAACATGTTCTTTCAACATATATATCCAACGTAAAGCGCTGCCTTGCAGTTTTTAAGAAAGAGTCTCTTCTTCTACATTTTTTTGTGTATAAACTTCTTCTTCTTAAGTAATTCTATGAGCCAACCAACATCCATTTACCTGTTTGATCTCAGATCTTATATTTACATTTTCATTTCTATAGATGTTCTGTTATTTATACTTTGAATAGGGACACCCTTCAGATCAGACAGGATTACTGCCTCCTCAAGGACAACAAACAAATCAATGATATCTTCTTCTTTTACCATCACAGTGCCAACTTTCATCCCCTTGATCAATGTGTCTTCACGGGATATAAGATGAGTTCAAAAATAAAATGCATTTATCATCATTTAAGGTGTAAACTTTCAACAAAAAGATTTTAATTCAAAATATTCTTAGTTGTGATTTTTTAAAATGGTCTCCTGCTTTTAGTTTTAGGTTTTTACCCTCATCTAAAAAGGCTGATTGGGTATTTTTTCCACACTGTCAGGCAGATGGGGGGGAGAGTAGGGCTGGGTATCGTCACTGATTTCTATAATCAATTCACAGGATCCCGATTTAATTCAATCCATGATTCAATTCGATTCAATTTGAATAAAAAATATTATAATTCTGATCACTTATCAGTACATATCCATATTTATATATCCATAAAAAGAAAGCTGACACTTGTGAGACTTTATCAAAGGTGTAAATATCACATCAGTTGCCTTTGTGTCAAATTAGCTGAGGATAAAATACAGAAAAATATGAAGGAGATTTTTCTGGCCTGGCTTTTTATAGGAGATAACCTTAAACATATTTTGCAATAGAACAAAAACGGAAGAAAACAATGAATCAACATATGAGCATTACCTGATGCTGCTGAAGTAAAGAAGAGTAATGTTACAGAGGTTGAATTAGAGACACAGCTAAGTGTTTGGTAATTCACAAAACATAATTTAAAAAGTTTTAACTTCTTCAGTATTTAACAGCAGACGTGAGAGTTTCTTTTCAGAAGCCATTTGAATACAAAAAAAAAAAAAAAACAGCGGTCGCCAGCGCTGAACACAAAGGCAGACTGGTAAACAGCGGTTAAAATAGCAACACTACAGTCTAAATATCAGGAGAGAAAATCAATAAGCGTTCAGATGTGTGGCTACATGTTGGTGGCAAACAGAGATTTGAGAAACTGTTTGTGAAGTACATACAGAGAGAGATAGATGTGCATGATGTGTTATTTTATCGTGGTGATATCAGTGATGAGGCCAACTATTGCAGAGTCTTCAGAGAACTTATGCAAAAATACATTGTAAGCTATAAAAACTCAGTTTCTGTCTGAGTTTCTTGCTGCTGTATTATGAAGTGCTGATCTTTGAAGACAGCAGTTACTATTCTCTTCACTTATTCTTAAAACAGAACACGACGAGGTTGAAAGCACCTAAATGCAGCTTGCAGTTTATCTCAGTTATGTCTCGCTTTGATCAAGCAGCATGTGCTAAATCTATCAGCTGACCTATTTTCATGCAAGCTCTTGCTTAGATAAGATGCGTTGTTACCGCATCTGACATGACTGGTACTCGTTTAGTGCTATTTTTCACCATGTACGACACTCTAACAGAGATCAATAGCAGCCCGTCAGTGTCTGAAATCAACACCAGAGATACAGACTAAATGTTGCTTGTGGTAACCCAGGAGATGTCAGAAAAGATTCTACCAAATATGAGGAGTTTGCCTTTTAAAGTGTGTTTAACATGGTAAACTGTGTTTTTTAACCATAACTGTGATTTTTCAGCTGGACAAGCTAAACAGGCCTGATAAGATGGGGGAGTTTTTTTAGGGTTTCTGAGGAAATATCATCTGTCCTATCACTGTAATTCCCACTGGTATTGATAGATAGGGGATTTTACTATGCAACGATGAGTTGATGTGAGAGTGATTCATGATAATATGTGGGATTTTCACAGTTATGGTGATCAAAATAATTAAAAAATCTTACTCTAAGATGATAAAACATGTTTTGTGTCTAAACGTGTTAAGAGAATACCTAAAAATGAAAAATATCTCACAGAAGAATAAAAAGCATTTCCTCAAAGGTTTAAACGGTAAATGCTGCTCTCAGTTCAGCTCAGGATATCACTGACTGTGTGTGAAATGAAAATCATTGACATCAGTCTGACATCAGTCACTGTCTTTTGTGCAACTGTCTTTTGAACTCAGTGATCAGGGGCCCGTTCTTCATACCTCGCTAAGTAAGTTAGCTGGATTAGATTGTTGACGATTTCGCGTGATCCTGGATCGTTC